TCTGCTGCCAGATCTTCCTCTATTTATAGAGAGAGCTAGGCTATGTCAGCACAGCAGCCAATCAGAAGGCAGGTCACCAACTGCCAGCCAGGTCACCAATTGCCAGTCCCAAGCTCCAGAGATGTCTTAAAGGGACGTCAACTTACAGCGACACAGCCCACAGCTAGGCGTCCCACAGGTAGTGTAGCCTTTAAATTGAGGCACAGGACAAGCAAGGCAGCTGCACACTGGTCTAATGATCAAAGAGTGAGAGACAAGAAAGGCGAGACTCACCAAGCCATTTATCTCTCTGCCCTTCAGTTAATCCCACTTGTGTTTATCGGCCAGGCTGGCACAATAAACTATCTCAACTGCCAAAAGAACAAACATAGCTATCTTAGAAGAGGAGCAGACTTCTTCTCATCTCAAGTGCCAAAAGAACAAACAGCTATCTTAGAAGAGGAGCAGACTTCCTCTCATGCCCTCCTGACATGTTGTCAAGAAAGACTAGTGCCTGGAGAAGGACATCATGCTTGAGGGGCAGTGAACAAGAGGAAGGCCCTTAAGGAGATGTATTGACACAGTGGTTACTACCGTGGGCTCCAGAATAGGGATAACTGTGAAGATGGAGCAAACCACGCTGCTGCATTCTGTTGTATATAGGGTGGCTATAAAATAGAATCAAGTCATGTTTATTATGCTAATTGTGGGAAAGTACAGCCTGGGAAGAGTGTATATGGACAAATTCTCTACGCAATAAAGACGTCTGGAAGGCCAGGATTCTGGTGGAGGGAGGCCTTCAATTTGTGAGTTGTAGATTAACCCAAGTCACATTGTCCTAAAGAAAAATCATCCTCACAATATCATCCCATAGTAGTGCTACCTTAATGATTGATACCTCTTACAAGCATGTGTGGCCGGCAGCCCATATCATGTTTCTATTATCTTCCTGCTCAAGAAGTGGTCAACTCCCCTCTGCCTGCTCCCAGTACTATTAATAGATTTCTCCCCCAAGGAGTCAGGGATGTCTAGAGTAAGGACACTGGACAGCTTGTTACATATGTGACCAACTGTGATTGATGGGGTTTGCTAATCCCAAGACTGTTACACAAGCCTGTTAAAGAATATATTCTGCGGCCATCAAGCTCAGAAGCAACAAAGCCCACATGGAAGAAGCACACCAGCCTATGCAACCACGAGGTGT